TACCCAAACCTTGTACTACAATTACTATTACCAAAATCCCAAGTACCTAATTATTGGGTGGGTGCAAGGACCCAAATAACAGGGTTTTAGGGCCCAAACACTATAATATTAATGGTATTTGGGCCCTAAAACCCTATTATGTGGGTCCTTGGACCCTTAGGGTAAGCCCCCAGCCTTGAAGATCCAAGGCCAGGATAAGTAGATGAGCTATAGTCTAAACTCCTTAAAGGGGGGGTTAGATGTAGGAGATTATTATAGGGTTTAGGATTTAGGGTTTAGGGTCTGAACCCCTTAGGGGGGGGGGGTTATATAGGAGATAATATAGGGGAGTAGTATCGGGCTTTCTAAGGGGGATACTAGGAGTTTAGACTACAGCTCAGATGTTGTAAAAAGATCCCGGGGCACTCAGGCAAAGACCAAAGAAGTCAAAACCTGCCCAGCGCCTAACCCCCCCCCCCAAACCCCAATTCCGGCCAGCACCTAAACTTACTAGTTCTTAGTAGGGAAGAAGAGAATGTATCATGTAGGCTTTATCTAGGGATGATGTTCCCTTACAATTCTAACTAAGAACCAGGAAGTAAACCTTAAACATAACGACAAAGAAGTGGACCTTCTAAACATTAAACCCAGAATCATGAATTCCAAGCCTTGAACCCTAATCTCCAAACCCCAAACCCTACCCAAAGCCCTACAGCTTTAAACCCCAAATCCCGCAGCCCAAATCTTAAACCTGAAAGTCTGAACCCCAAACCCGTAACCATCACCTTTCAATCCTAAATCTGATACCACAAGCCGTAATTCACCCCTAAAGATCAACCCTAAGCCCTAAACCCTATAAACCCTAAACGATTTGCCCTCCCTAAACCCTCAGCCTTTACTTCGCAGAGGCTTTGCGCTCCGCTCCACGCGCCACCCTAAGCTCAAAAAGCCACTGGCACCAAGGTAACAGGGCGATATGAGCTATAGTCTGAACTCCTTAATGGGGGATATATGGGGGGGTTATATAGGGGAGTATTATAAGGGGTATTAAGGGGGATACGAGGAGTT